TTTGCTGATGACACTACGATATGGGCATCGGGTGAAAACCTACAGCAACTCTCTGGATGGGTTATACAGGAACTTGAGAAGATAAAGAAATGGTGTGATAGTAATATAGTATCTCTGAATTTGGATAAAACTAAATTTATGGTATTTGGGAATTGTAGACTAGATAATGAACTTCAATTGAAAATTGGGGGAGCTAATATAGAACGAGTATATGAAATTAAATTTCTAGGTGTCATAGTTGATGACAAATTCTCCTGGAAATTTCATATCAGATATGTTCAGCACAAAATAGCAAAAAATATATCGATATTGGCAATGGTTAGATATATTGGACGGGAAAGCACTACGTATTTTGTATTCTTCATTGATTTTACCATACTTGGAGTATGGCATTGAAAACTGGGGAAACACATACAAAAGCTCACTTCAACCATTGTATATATTACAAAAAAGAGCGATAAGAATTGTGCATAAGATGGGGTATAGGGATCACACCAATGGAGCTTTCATACAGTCTAAATTGTTAAACTTTTTTGATTTAGTTGGATATAAGACTGCAGTGTTTATGTATAAAGCCAGGAGCAATTTATTACCTGGTGGAATTCAAAAACTATTTAATGAAAGGGAAGGGGGATACAATTTAAGGGGTCAGTTAAATTTAAAAATTCATGCTATACGTACAACCAAAAAAAGATTTTGTATTTCCATAAGTGGGGTAAAACTATGGAATAATTTAAGTGTGGACATAAAAAATAGTAATAGAATTGATGAGTTTAAACATAAATATAAAGGTATGTGTCAATCAAGATATATGCAAGAACAGGCTCAATGATTAATTAGATGGAACATTGTGGGTGTGGTGTATGAATGTTAATACTCTGTAATAATTCTTTAGTATATTACTTGTGTGGTGTAGAACAAAATGATCTATGTAGAGATACTGCTTGCAAACCAATGATGTAAGATGATGTCAGGGGGTAGGACTGGATAAGTCTGACTTCTTCCTACTCCATTCAAGCATGTACTAGGTATAAGCTCATTGATAATGCATTTGTGGATATGTGTGGAACTATGTGTGTTGACATATTGACTGTCTTTACATGTTTGAAAGAATAAAAAATAAATAAATAAATAAAATAAAATCCACGTTTGCTCTCTAGTGAGTATCTGTGGCAGCATGTTGGACTGAGTCTGAGTTAGCTCCATGGTGATGAGGAACATGGCGGCCAGGGCAGTAGTGTGTCTGGGCTCAGAGCGAGGAGAGAGGTGAGGGCACAAGGCTGGAGAGGAGGAGACGTCAGTGTTAGTTTGACCCTGTGTATGGGATTGGTTGACAAGAAGTATATTAAAATAACAAAGGCTTTACTCTCTGTCAGTTGTGTCAAAGGAAATCTGACTTAGTGAAAAGCCTGAAGAGGGCGCTATAACTGCAGTAAATAGAGACAGTCTGTTCCTGCATTAATGGCGTTCCCCTCCTTTCCTCCTCCTGTAAAAATATCCTTCGCACAAGTGTTTTCTGCATTGATGCCCCCCCTTATCAAAAATCTGGTGGTGATTTGAAGCTTCAAATAAAGAATTAGAGGAAAGGACGTCTTGTCTTTTAAAATGTGTTTCCTCAAGTCCACTCTCCTAGCATTTTCTTCTTGATTAAATATGGCTGAGTCACAAGGAAAAGACACCTAACACAAGTGAGGGACACATTGGTGCATAGAAGAGACTTGGGGTGTATCCATAGACTCCTCGACAGTCCCTGCACCCTCAACAGCCCCCAGAGTCGCCTCAGCAACCCCAGGACTCCTAAGGAAAACCTGAGCCCCTGGAATGTCCAACACCCACTAACGGACTAAAACAGTGACGCCTTTGTTTTTCAGGAAACTCTATAAACACTTAAAAACTGGTGGTGTTCCTCCTCCTCCTCATCAGGGCCTGCGTGGGCCTGGAGGATCCTGCCCTGCTGGATAGTAGAGAGGACTGAGCATCCCTCATGCTGTCTCTGAACGTCCTGGTGGAGTAGTAATACAGCAGGGGGTTGACCACACTGTTTGACGCCGCCAGACACAGGGTCACCACCGCCGCCCGCTGCAGCGCCACTGTGACGTCACAGTTCCAGCGGCTGCAAACGGCGTGCAGGTGCAGTGATCGAATCACGTGATAGGGCAGAAAGCAGAGCAGGAAGGTCACCGTCACCATGGTGACCAGGTGCACAGAACGCCGTCGTTGCTGGACAGGCTGCTGCCGTGGGGGCCGGAGCGGGCCGTCAGGTGGCGGATGAGTCTGCTGTAGCAAATGATGATGGTGAGGAAGGGAATGAGGAAGCCGAGAGCCAACCCCACGTAGTTCAGAATCAGGACCCGTTCCCAAGAGGAGGGGTTAGAGGGCTCGAAGCAGCGAGGAGACCCCGCCCTGAGGAAGACAGAGACCTTCACTTTATCACTCGTCACTGTAAACGTCTTTCATCTCAGAGACTAACAGTTTAACATGCACTGTGACGGAGGACGGGGACCCAGGCTGTCGACCTGACACCTAGCTCGTCCAAACTTAAGTGCTTGTCATCCTGGACTGTTTACCTAAACATCCTCGCTCCTCAGAGCAGGAATAAGAGCTCTGGGACGTCCTTCGTCATGGCAGACTATAACAAATTCTGGGTTGAGCGAGAACTGAGGACCAAGAAATGATGAAATAAGGGACCTGGGATTCTGGTGTTTCCCAGTCATACCAGTAAAGTTTGTGTTGAGGGTGGTGGAAAGTAAAGTCATGGGGTCAGTGAAGTCTACAGGGTTGATTCTGGAGCAGCACTGGGATCTGAAAAGGTCCAGCCTGTCCTGGTTGTTCTGCCCTGTTTTTGGCTCAGATGAGCCTGTTGCTCCACAGGTTTGGATGTATTCTGTTTGCTTTACTGTTCAGTTAACAGCAAAAGTGATGATATTCTACTTGTTATGCTCATTATCTTACAGGAAAAGACTTGAGTCAAAGCTTTGGCTGCCATTTATTTACAGGTGTAAGCACGAAGGCCTCATAATTAAACCAGTGAGGTACCGTGTCTGTCCCAGTAACTCACCGCCCTCCCTCCACTGGCTCTATTAATATTTTTATGGAGGCCAAAGACAGGAACGTGTTGTAGCGTGTCTAGGTTTGCCTTTGTATTTACAGTAAGAGCAGCAGCAGCTGGAATCCATGACATTAAATAAACATTGACTGGCTGCAGGTATGAGATGTTTCCTGATGTGAAGAGGTGACAACCCCTCGTCCACATGTGAAGTTCTGTTCTCTAGTGGGTCCAAACAAACTCCATGGTTTAAACATCTTTTTATTCGGAGCTCTTTAAACACTTAATGTATTTCTGTAAACGTGACCAAATTGCCAGAGACACAAAAACAGCCAGCCTGTGAAACATCAGTTAAACCAAACCGGTTCACTCACTGGGTAAATCCCAATTCCCTTATAGGTGTGTCCTTTCCTCTGATCCTTCATGAGAAGTGTCCGATCAACAAGTGATTTCTTATACAGGGGCGTGTCGGTCCATTTAAGACGTCCACAAATATCCTCTCGTGTATCCTGTTGTGTTTCCTCTCGTGTGCCCTCGCTCATGGCTCCTCCTGCAGCCTCCTTGCTCCTCAGAGGAGGCATAAGAGCGCTGGGACGAAGATGATGGACCGGAGCAAAATCCAAGTCGAGCAAGGATGGATGAGTGAGGACCAATCAAATAAGGCAATTTGGATTTACCCACTGATTGTCTACCTGTGGGTTCACCTGCATTTAGTGTCGGTGTGCGCCTCACCTGTTTGTCACGCCATTGGACAAAAAGGGGGCGGAGGACATGCCCACAAACAGCCAGACCCCCAGGCAGACCAGTACAGTTCGAGTGGGCGTGGCCAGAGTTCGGTGTTTTAGAGGCTGGGCCACAGCGAGCCAACGGAGCATGCTCAGTAGAGTGAGGAAGAGGATGCTGAGGGAGGAAGAGCAGCATTTAGTCTTTTATCACTCATGTTGTGAGGACATCAGTTGATTTACAGTCACAACATGGAGAGTCGACCTGGTTTTGGGACACAAAGTCCTCGTAAAGGAAACCGTTAAGGGTTAGAGTAAGTAGGGGAAGTGTCCAGGAAATGAATGTGAGCTAATGACAGGCCATCGGGTGTGGCTGACACGTGTGTGTGTGTGTGTTACCTGGTGTACAGGTTGACGTAGAAGCCGTACACACACAGTCGGCACAGCCAATCAGGAAACGTCCACACTCCTCCCTTGAAATAGTAGGCCAGTCGCAGTGGGAGGGTGAGGGAGAAGCTGCCATCTGATAGGGCGAGGTTCATCATGACCACACAGGAGGCGGAGTTCCTGTGAGGGAGAGTGTCTATGTTCAGTTGTCATGCCAACAGACAGAGTGGTCCCTTACAGAACATCTGGGCTGCGTCTACTGTGTGATGTTTGTAGTTTTGCACTGAGGTCCACGAGGACCTTTTGCTCTGTCAGAGCGCAGCAGGGCGCCGTAACAGCTGTGGATGCAGCTACATCAGGGTTTACACCCAGCACCAGGTAGTCAAAGGTGTCTGTACTGGCCTTGAATTCACACCTGTGGACTTGTTTTCCACTTCAGCAGGTAGCTTATCATTTATAACGACTGGAGCTGAAGATGCATTTAAACACACTCACAATGTGCCAGTTATAAAACTCAGGACACCTGCTTATTATTTTTCCCCTGCCTGATTTGCATGCGGCCTGATTTGCATGCGGCCATCAGATGGTACGACCTCGAGCTGAGCTCTCAGACACGATGCTACAAAGCAGCACGCCCTTAACAACACAGGACCTTAAAGACATAACAGTGATGATGTGTTAAGGATTCAAATATTACACTGCTGTGAGTCATGTCGGAGCCTAGTGTGATATGATGAACGTTGCAAAACAATTATTGTCTTTGTAAAATATTAAGGTTTCCAGACGTAGTGACTGTCCAGTATAGATGCTCGTTTGTTTAGGCAAAGCTAAAAACCCTGTGGATGCCCTGTTCGTTTTTAGAAAAACCTGCTGCAGCTCTGCCTGTTTCAACATGTCATACAAGCCGCTCCATAACAAAGTGCTTTTCCCAGCTGGGTGTAGAGGAATTGTACTGGTCTGCAGAGAGACATAACCTAAACCCAGTTCCTAAAACCTCTTGGAACTAGAAAACTGACTGAAGCCAGCCTACTGGAGCTCAGTGATGCTCTTGTGTCTGAACTGGAGCAAACCCCTGGTGGAAAACCGTCCCAGAGCTCAGAATGTGGGTGAAGTGTCCATATACTTTGGGCCATGCAGAGTGCTTCTGAAGAGCACACCGGCCATGGCGTGTTCTTGTGAAAACTGAGTTTTGGAGATTGTTTGGAAAGTGGGAAATGGGTCTTTTTGCCCGTAGGCGTGTAGCCCCGATGCTGAAGGAGCAGAAAGAAGGGAAGCCAGAGACCTGCGGCTGCTCTGCTGGAAGAAGACCGCCAGTGCCCCGATGTTGCAGAGGAACGCCACAGGAAACAGCAGCAGATAGGTGAAGGTGTAGGCGCGGTACTTGAAGGCGTCGTCGTCATGGAAACATGCCAGCAGCTCCACGGTCGCCGAGGCATTGTTGCCGACTACGATGGGAGTGGCTAGCAGGTCTTCCTCAAAATACAAACAGGGCAGTAGTTGCACACATTAAATTTCAACACAAACACTTGTTTGAGATAAACCTACTGCACAGACCCACGTGGGAACAAGACGGTGGCAAAATTAGCAGCACCAACAAATCAAGTCTCTGTACAAGCTGATCAAATGGGCTGTCGTTCCATCAGCTGAGGCCTGTTTGGTTAAATATGAGTTCAGTCTGATCTGCTCCTGTGTGCAGTGCCCCGTGGATGTGCACACAGCTGGATTACTGTGATGCAGTGAAACATGAGGATCCTCAGGCCGGTTCTCAAGCTTTGTCTCCTTAAAGTTATGGAGGCTTGTTATGGAGCCACCCTGAGTTGAGGGGGGTATTTGAGTCAAAACAACTGAAAACAAGCCGTCTTTAACTGGAAAATTGGAAAGTAGAGGAGATTAAAAACTGGATTCTCTGGTTCAAGTTGTGAGGGTCTCAGCAGTAAAGTATTCCTTCTGCAGTGAGACGGGTCCTAAGGCTGATGTACAATATTTATTTCTGACTGTATGAACCAGTTCATAGTGACGCATCAGGCAAACGGACGCCGGTGAGAGTGTGGTGCAGTATGTAAAGCAGCTGGCCTGCTCTAAACAAAGCTGCTCTCATGAGACAAACGCACCTTTGCTGCTGAAATGGACATTTGAATGAGGCCGTTTGAGGTTTAACCGTCTGTGTAACGACATGCAAACCGCTGGACGCATGACGTACTCTGACGGTACAGAGGAGGGCTGTGTGTCTACATGAGCTCAGAGAAAGGTGGAGGTGATGTTCCCCCTGTACGGAGTCTGAAGGTGACGGTACAGAGGAGGGCTGTGTGTCTACATGAGCTCAGAGAAAGGTGGAGGTGATGTTCCCCCTGTACGGAGTCTGAAGGTTAAGTTTACACTAACTAACCTTCACGCCAACTCGCTACTTGTAGCCCCATTACGTTTGCCACTCAGCTGCTGTATGAATGAAAGACGTAACAGGACAGGTGAGCTTCACAGGTGTCAGTGGGGGGCGGAGCCAGGCCAGCTGTTTGCCCCTGTTTCCAGTCTTTATGCTAAGCTAAGCTGACCAGCCACTGCCTGGGGCTCCCAGTCCACTGGGCCGACATCAGAGTGGGACCAGTCTGATGTCGAACAATCTTGTGCGCCGTAGCCTGACTCCTGTGACCTTTGACCTCCTCGCTGCTGTGTTTATAAAGCTACAGGCGTGACCATGGGAAATCCAACAGCACAAAGGAATGCTGCCTTCATCAGCACAGAAATGAAACATTGCCAGTCGCCACCTGTTTGTGCTCCTTTTGTCTCTTTGTGGTCGTTTCTGTCTGTTTTCCATCGGATGTTGTTGTTTACGTCCCTTGGTCTTGTGGAGTCCCTTCATAGTCGTGTTGTGTCTCTGTAGCTGGTTGACTTGTCACATAATCTAACAGGTTGTTGTTTGGCCCTTAGTCAAACCACAGTTTAACAGTCAAAGCTTTCTTTCTCATTTTCCTTCAGTTCCTTTGTGTTTCAGTCATGAACACTGATTCTCCAGGTCTGGACAGAGACAGTGTTTGTTAACAGACATCAAGTTTTCACTGAAGCCAGGAGGTCTGTAAACCGGATCAGCAAACAGTCGGCATGAAGCCACTGGAGAATGTGCAGTGACCTGGGCTAAACAGGGTTTACACTCCTCTTACTCCTCTCTCCCTGTGGAATTCCAGCTTTATTTTGAAAGGTAGCACTCACCGTTCATCCTGTCAGCTTCATTTCTCCCGTGGTCGTTGACTCGTTCCTCTGTCCGTCCCTCAGTGTGCTCACGTCCCTCTGTCCCTTTGCCTTTGTCTGTCTAGGTCTGTTGATCAGTAGTGAAAACCTCCTGGGAGGCTGTTGTGGGTGTGTTAGCCACATGGAGGCAATTCCATGGAAGTAGGTGCACACACACTCGTGCACTCAATCTAGGCAGGAAGCCAACACACACTCAGTGGTTCTTCCAACTCGAGGCGCGCTAACACTGATCTAAGCAGACAGAAATAACACATTTTCCTAAACATCTGGGCTTTGGTTTGGCCTTTAAAGGGACCGGGTTCCTGTGAAGCTCCGGTTTTCACTAACATGGGGACGTTACCCAAACATGATAGTCACATGATTACATTCAAACATAAATAAAGAAAACCCATGGAACACAAGTCAATATGTTTTTAAAAATAGCAACTGTTTTTCAGAAATAATTCTGGACTCTGTCTTACAGGAGAAGAATTGCAGAGAAGGGCTCATCACCTGAACCTGACCAGAGATCAGTAAGTACCATTAGATCCTTCTTGTCTGCTGTATTCATGGGGTAGGACTGGATAAGTCTGACTTCTTCCTACTCCATTCAAGCATGTACTAGGTATAAGCAAATTGATATTGGATTAGCATTTGTTGGATATGTATAAAATTATGTGTGTTGATATATCAACTGTCTTTACATGTTTGAAAGAATAAATCAAATCAAATCAAAAGACACTTTGGTTAAGACCTCGCACAAAACAAGACCCGATTAGTTAATGATCTGCAACATTTAATCATTAAAATGAACACTGAATGGTTGCAGATTAATTGTTTAGGTAATGTTTAAGCAAACAAAAAAACTAACAGCAAAAAAACACAAAACTATTCTCTGGTTCCAGCTTCACAGAAGTTTTATGTTTCTTTGTGGTGTGTTGTAGTAAACTGAATGTTTTTGGGCTCAGTCCACCTGATGGCGTCACCCTGGACTGTGCCTTGGCTTCCATCCTATTCTCATGTCTCTTATATGGCGGCTTTATGTCGCAGTATGTGTTGTTATGTACAACACTTTGGCCAACAGTTTTTAAATGGGCCTCATCAGTAAAATGACTGACATTTATGAATAAAGACTAACAGGCATCAGTAAGCACAGTTTTATTTTAACATACAACGTGAATAATCACAGACGATTCTATAAGAAACGATGTTTATGATCGGCTCCTAATTGTTAACACCCTCTGCAGAATTTGGCCTCAAAGTGATTTATAAAGTTTGCCTTATTTTATTAAATATTTGACTTTAAAATCTTATTGGACCTCAGTTTATTTGAATGTTACCATCTTCCCCTGGTTGGGTTGTGAAGCTGACACCTGTGAACAGGCTGAGCAGTGGCAGGAAGCTGCCAGCAGGGGGCAGCACAACAGAACAAGGGTGGTGGGGCAGTAGTTAATACTGCACGGGACTGCATGAGTGTTCAAAACAAGTGTAGTTGATGCACGTTGGCTCTGCTTTTACTTGTGTTCACAAAAAGCGGCAGACACACGGATGCCTAATTTCAGCTGCCAGCAGGGGGCAGCACAACAGAACAAGGGTGGTGGGGCAGTAGTTAATACTGCATGGGACTGCGTGAGTGTTCGAAACAAGTGCAGCTGATGCACGTCGGCTCTGCTTTTACTTGTGTTTCAAAAAGCAGCAGACACACTGATGCCTAATTTAATTTCAGTAAAAACTAATTTCTTAAAAAACAGAAGTTTTCACTATTTCATCAACTAGTACTTTGACATCGGTCACATATCGTCTGAGGGGCAGCGTTGGCTGAGACACTGTGAACAGACTATGGGTGGCCTTTAGGCCTTGCTGTAATTAAAATCGACCAGTTGGAGGAATCAGACAATGGAAACTGACCTCGGTCTATTGCTAGCTTTAGTGGACACTTTCTCGGGGCAGTCAGCTGGTTTCATGTTCATGCTGAGTGTCTGAGGCCATAACATTTGCAGCTGTGGCACCACTGGAAACTCTTGGGCTGAGTCCTGGTAAACAGAGCTCAGATGATGATGAGCTGACTGGTCCAGTGGCGTTTCCATTTTGTGATCAAAGGAAGTTGCAGCACTCATGACATTACATTCATCTGACAGATGCTTCTGTCCAAAGCAAATTACAGTAAGAGCTTTGAGACCATGTAGGAGCAAGGGCTGCTGTCCAGAGCCGTCCCTGGGAGCATACCACTCCCAAATAAAGGACCGAACACAGAACAAGTTTCTAAGACCTCGCAGAGAATCTGTGCAAACAGGTAAAGAAGATTTAAAACTCAGTTTCTGATCAAAGCTTTTCTTATGTGATGGCCATGTGAAACTTCATTACTAGGAGATGTTTCTTTACAAATGCTTCAGATTGTTTCAGGTCTTTGTTTTTTATTGTTCATTTGTACCTATTTGCCTCATTTGACCTTATTGTCTGCAAAGCACTGAGCTGCATGTGAAAGGTGATATAAAACTTGACTGATTTACTGGTAACACACCCTGGTACAAATGAACAGGCTCATTCCTTGAGGTGGAACCTGGAACCGATACAAAAATATCTCATCCTTGTTCAGTTACATTCTTCAGAACATGAATTACCTCATGAATTACATACAGGACTATGCTGAGTATGTGACCGGATACATTAGTACCTGTATCGACAACATTGTGCCCACCATACAAGTCAGGAGGTTCCCCAACCAGAAGCCCTGGATAAACAGTCAGGTACGCCACATGCTGCGTGCCTGCTCTCATGCATTCAGATAAGGCAATGAGACAGAGTACAAAGCTGCGAAGTACAGACTGAGGAAAGCCATCACAG